TGTTGGGGAGTAATTGCTGGGTGGGGCGTGGGGCCACCAGTCCTTTAGGGCGTCCAGGAAAGCTGTCCGCTGCCACTTACCTTGCTCGTAGTTTGCAGAGAATGCGCCATCCAGGGAGGCAGTGGAGCCCAGGGCAGGCTCGGAAGGGCACCACGGGCTGTCGAGCCCGGGATTCTCGGGGCCTCGCTCTGGAGTGCAGACTTCCAAGGCGCCTCTGATGTGGCCCGTGAGGCCCTGTGGCCGAGTGCGTGCCCAGGGGGAGCTACGGGATGCCCCCGGCACTGGGACACAGACTCCCCCTCCTCTTTCCTCCCCAACTGTCCGTTTTTGTGTGTTCCCAGGAAGGGAAGTACAGTACAATCCAGCTGTCGCTTAGAAAAAGCCAGGTGCAACTTGACGCTTTTAGTTGGTTCTGGCTACAATTTTGAAATCAGTCCTTGATCATGCATGAAGATGGCGTGTGAACTCCTGGGGAACATGGTGTCCGGATTCTGCGAGCTGCACGAGGCCCGCTTGCGGGATCTCAAGGCGGCTCTGAAAGGAGTTGAGTGGGTGTCGGGGAAGCCGGGGAAAGGCCAGTGCTCTTGTGGAAGGAACTCTGGCTGGGCGGGCCTGCGCCCTGGCTGTTGCCTAGGGGACTGTTGGAGGCCTTCCCTGGAGCACGGGCTTTCTTTTGGACGATTGTGTTCGCAGCTGCTTCTCCATGTAAGAGGAGAATTCAAGAAAGTTCCTGGAAAATGGAAATAACAGAGAACCTTGCTGCCGAGTCCTGCGCCGCATGCACCATCCCCCGTGGCACACGGCTCCGCCAGCTTCCGCAGGAACCTCGTGTGCGTGAATTTCACGGTCTTTTTACACACACAAAAATTTCTCTGTGTTTTTCATGAACATCTTGAAATACCCTCCAATTTATGAAAGTGCTTACCTTTATTTTATTTTATAAATGTGTATTGTTTTTAAATGTGAAAAACAAAACCCCTAGCTTGAATGTGTTTTATTCCTGTGCAGAGCTGTTAATGTTTTAAAGCTGTTTCGTGTACTAGATGTTTCCGAGTTTCATGTAGTAATGAATTTTCTTTATTTTGGTTCTTTACAAAGGTTTGCTTTGTGAGTTTAAAATTAGACTGCCGCCGACTCGTGTAGCACATATTAACTGTTTATTTAGTTGAAGTGCACTCTGTATCTTTCCTTCCTGATCAACCTGAAAAATTTGCATGCCACGCTGCAGTCATCTTCTTTTATACTTTATTAAATATCTGTCAATTATAAATATCAAGGTTTTACATTAATGTCAAGATAGTACATCAAAAATTCATGGAATATGTGACTTTTTCCAAGGGTATTTAATACTTAATGCGTTTGTGTCATTTTTCTTTCCACAGATATTGACAGGTTTTATTAAGTGTTTGTTAGGGAGATTTCATTTTTATCAAGGGACTATAAAGAGAAGCTGCATGCTAAATCAATTTTTTAGAGCCAGAATATTGTTCATTTTTTCATCTTCAAACACTTATAATCTGTAGGTTTTATTTAAATTTCTTCTTGGTTTATTTTTGTTCCATGTGAGTGATAGTTCAAGACAGAACTTTAATAAGGATCAAATCTGCTGACTCTTGGTTTTTAATTTCCTTAAGCGTAGCTCCCAGACCATGCACTATGGCCAATTCTTCAAAATGTCATACTTACATATTTAGCAATAGCGCTCCTTTTTATTGAAGCCAAACAAACAGTTTTAGTTATTAATCTTTCCCATACCTGGTGATGATTTTGTATGAGGGGCTGTGGCGTGCCTCCTCCTGCTGGCAGGGAGCGGGTTGGTGCTTGCCCAGGAGGTGAGAACACCGGCCGCTTCAAGCCTCTGGCCAGCGTGCAGAGCTGTGCGCGTGGGCGGGCTGGGGGCTGCTGGGGGCCTTCACATCTGTGGTCAGAAAACAGCATAGCCGAGATGGGTTGGTTGCACAATAATTAATTTTCTGATTTCACTTTTGCATTTTATGATTTTTAAATGGTTTATTTATTTATTTGAAATAGAGGAAGTGAGAAAGAGCCCTTCCATGTGTTGGCTCCCTCTGCTGGATGGCTTCGACAGTGCTGGGCTGGGTCGGAGCTAGGAGCAGCTACTGGGCCTCCCATGTGGGCACTGGGGCCTGAACAGTTGGACCATCTTTCACTGCTTTTCCCAGGCGTGTTGACAGGGACAGGGCATGTTGACAGGGACAGGGCACTGGATTGGCGGTGGAGCTGTGGGGGCATGAGCTGTCCTCTTGGTGGTCTCAGCTTGAGGACTTTGTTCCAAGGAACTTCACAACAGTTGAGTTTTTCAAAGATGGGTCTTTTTTTTTTTTTTTTAAAGATTCATTTTATTGATTTCAAAGGTGGAGATACAGAGAGGGAGGGGTGAAAGAGACTGGTTTCCCCCACGTGTGCAGGAGCCCAAGCATGTGGCCCATCTTCCACTGCTTTCCCAGGTGCGTTAGCAGGGAGCTGGTTCAGGAGTAACTGGGACTCCAGCTGCTACTGATGGGGGATGCCAGCATGCAGGTGGCAGCTTAACCCACGATACCACTGTGGTGGTCCCCGGAAGATAGCTCCGTGGACTTTGATTTGTCCAACAGGAAAAAGGTTTGTTTTTTTGTTTGTTTTTGTTTTTGAAAACAATTCTATTCTGAGCTTCAATGAGAAGTTGCTGTCTTGCCCTTTTTCATTCTTTTGGAGTAAGTAAAAGCATTTAGCTTCAAAAGTAACTTTTTCACTTACAAATTATTTTTGTTATCTGAGTATTTTGAAGCCGTCAGCCCAAGTCGTGGCTTAGCAGAGCCAGGGATGACGGCGTAGGCCTTTGGGTTCCTCGATGGCATGTTAGGCCCCTGGCTGCAGCCCGTTACAGCCCTGACCCGCGGGACTCTGAGTCTGGAACAACAGACAGATCTACTTTTCAAAAACAATCACAAGAGTGATCTTGATATGTAGATTTTCTGTACATGAAAATGGAAATAGTAGCTGGTTTGTGATAAACCTGATTGGGATTTGGACAGAGCTGCTAATGGAGGCTCTACTCTGGGAACTGACGAACTCTGCCCTTGGCCAGCAGGTGGCGCCAGTGCCACGGCAGTGAGAGCCCTGCTGATGGGCCTGGCTTGCCTTGCAGAGCCCCGTGTGGGCTGCCCGTGTCGGGTGGCCTTGTGTGGGCGAGCTGTGCGCAGTAGACACGGTGGGCACACCCTGGTTTCCCAGACAAGGACAGCCATTTCTAACAGGTTCTGCAAACTCGGACAGTCCTCAAAACGACTCTTGTTCTTGTGCTCCTTTTTTTATTCTTTTTTATTGACCTAATCAGGACTTGGTCAGGAATGAGAACTTCCGAATTGGGTGAGACGTATGTGGACAGGAGGACAAGGTCCTGGCCTGTCTCCTGGGTCCAGGGGGTCCTGCGCGTGGGGAGGTTTCTGGGGCTGTTGGCCGTTTGTTTCAGCAGGTCCCAGCGTTGGGAGGGTCTTCCCAAGCCGTGCTGAGATGTGACATCTTGAGCCCCAGTGTTGTCATCTCCTGTTTTTCTGAGAAGTCAGACTTGGGGGTGGGCGTCTGTGGCTGACATTAAGTGCGTGTGGGATTGAGCATGGGAACTTACTGCCTTTCAGATAGCATGGTAAATCCATAGTTTGGATGAATTAAAATGTTTCAGGACAGCAGAAACGCTTTGCTGCCTCCTGGGGTTCAGAGGGACGAGTGTGCAAAGTTGCCGGTTGGTCTTGGCTTCATTGTCAGTGGGGATTTTAGTGGAAGATTCCTCTTCACAGTGCTGAACTGTAGGGAGAGGAGTCCTGCCTGCTGCTTGCTTCCGGAGAGGCCCGGGCGCATTGCAACGGAACAAAGCTCTAGTTTGCCTGCCTCTAAGGCCCGGGCGCAGCCCCTGCCCTGCCCGCTGCCCTGCCCGCTGCCCTGCCCGCTGCCCTCGGCCACGCCGGCCCGCCCCCTGCCGGCCGTTCCCAGCTTTCCAGACTGTGTGTCATTTTGCTTGTTGACTCAAACTGCCGCATTTCAGTTTTGGTATCAAAGGCGTGTGTGTGGAATGTTATCTGAATGTTATCTGAACGTACCCTCCGGGTTTTGACTTTGCCTCCAAACGGTTGGAACTGGGCTGAGCACTGAGGGGCTGCGGCCCCCAGGCGCCCACACCAGCCTGGCCTTTGTGCTGTACAAGTCGCCTAAAATTGCGCACTACTTATGGCTGTTGTTTCCTAATTCACTTACGGTTGGAACCCATTTCACCTGATCCCTCCTGTCCTGCGTGTGCTGCAGTGAGCGCAGTGCTGGGCGCAGCCACAGCAGGCCCTCTGTGACACCGTCACCGAGACCCAGGCTTGGCAGCCACCGCTGTGAGAGCAGCTTTGAGTTTCCTAATTGAGACAAAGGTTTTTTACATGCTGAAGAAGTCTTGGGGGGCAGCTGTGAGGGCAGAATATGAAGTGTCAATTTTTCTCGTTAGTGTGAGGTTCCAGACGCTTTTACCAAGTGCGTGTTTGTCCACTGGCTGCTCGCTGCTGTGTCTTGCGGGTCTCGTGGAGCTGGTAGCGTCGGCCGGGTGTGATTCGCTCACACAGTGCACATCACTGCCCATTAGTGACTCAAGTCGGGGCTTAAGGAAGCACCTTTCGGTGGATTCTAGTGTGTGATTGCTCCAGGACACGCCCGACTGAGGGCCTGAGAGCTTCTGCTTGGGTTGGTGGCCCACCTTAAATCTTATTTTGCATGGTATCTGTGGGTTCTGGAGTCAAAATAGGAAGGAGCAGATTTATATGGCTGCTGGGCACAACAAATTAACCTGACAGTGATGTATGGGAGCCTAGTAGCCCGATGATCCCGCGCACGCGGCTGGGCGCCGCCTGCCTCATTTGGCTCTTGTTAGGACCGCTCAGGCGGCTGAGTAATGAAATTCTGCGGACTGATTTCTCTTTCCTCCTTTTCTCTGCCCTCTGCTTTCTAAAACCTGTGATTCCCAGACCCATCCTCAAGCCAGCAAGCTGCCCCTCAAGGACTCCTTCACCTACGAGGACTACAGGTGGGTGTGGGACGCAGCACCTGCTGGGACCACTTGCAGCATGCAGATGGAGCTGGCCTCCGAGGCAGCTGCGTCTTGGCAGCCCCGGGGATGCCAGCAGCCTGCTGTCAGCAGGGCTTCCTCGAGGTGCACTGCCAGAGACAGACCTTGGCACCCAGTGGGCCTCGGCTACTTGGTCCTTCCCAGCAGATTGGGTTACTGTGAAACAGGAATCTGTTCCTATTGGACAAAAGACTTTATAGTGCAATTTAAAAGAAATCACATCCCACATTTTGTATGATTCTTCGAGAATTTGTGACCGGAAAGGAATTAGATCATTTGCTTTCCATTGGAATTTGAAGTGGCGCAGAGTCGGTGTTGGGTGAAGGCGGGTGGGAAGGTGGGCAGAGCGGGGGAAGGTCTGGCCTGGGAAAAGAGGAGCTGCAGGGTCGTCTCCTGTCCCCCCTGGCTCAGCGTCCCGAGAACCTAGGTCGAGGTGTCCCTGGTGAGCAGAGTGGCCAGCCTTTGACACTGGAGGACAGCTTGGTGATTCTGTGAGCAGTCGGCCGCGCAGATTCCAGCTCTGTTCTTGTTTCGTGCGGGGGCTTATGATTCCACTGTTTCTGTCACGGTTGTAGGTGGGCAGTCTCGTCTGTCATGACACGACAAAACCAGATTCCCACAGAGGACGGCTCGCGTGTGACCCTGGCTCTGATTCCGCTTTGGGACATGTGCAACCACACCAACGGCCTGGTAAGTGTCTCCTCTTTTCAGATGTGGCAGCTGCCTGTCGGGCTCTCCTGCTGGGCGTCACGGGGGAGCCAGCGCCTCCCATGGAGGAGGCTGGGTGGCCGCGCCCTCTGTGGACGCTGTGCTGGGAGCGCCCATAGTACACTCCGTGTGTGTGCTGAGTTCTAGTCCGCATGTCCGTGCTCTTCTCTTACTGCAGCAGAGACCAAGCCAGCATTTTGGATTTATGGAAGAATGTCTGTTTTGACACCTTTCTCCTTTTCCTTTTCTTTGCTGACTTCCTGTTTTCACTCCTGTGCCTTCCACTGGGCACCAGCCATGCTGGCCGACCTGCTGTGGCTGGCATCGGCCTGAGCCTGGTGTGTGTGTGTGTGTGTGTGTGTGTGTGTGTGTGTGTGTCTGCAGCTCCCCCTTGGCCCTGGCGTGTGCCAGTCAGTGGCATCACCAGACACAGGAGTGCTGGGTGGGTGGTGTGCTGTTACTGTCCCCTGCAGCCCGAGCGGGGCTCCGTCCCTCAGATGTCCCGGCTTGCTGTCGTCACACTGCGTGGCCCTGGGTCGTGGTGCTCCTCCAGGCTTGAGACGTTCCAGCAGGGAGCAGCGTGCGCTGGTGCGGTGGGCTCTTGTTCCCCTTTACAGAGTCAGCTTCTGTTGTTGTTATTGTTAGTAGCATTATAAACAGAATATAAAGAAATACTGGAAGGGATTATTTTACGTCTGATTTCACGAGGTGTCCAGGACAACACATTTACCCAACGCCAGATACTTAAGATAGAACATTCCGTGCCAGTTTGGGGAGGTTTGCAACACGTATGTTCTTGAATGTTAAGAGTATTTAAACTGTAGCAAGAAAAGAACAGTTCTACTTTTCTAATTACGTTTTCACCTTCATTTAGATATGCTTGATTTAATTAATAATTCTAAGAAATAGTGGCATGTTTTATCATTTGTTTTCGTTAACGAGTATAATTTTACATCCTTTGTTCCTTTTTTTCCTTCAGAGATTTTAAACTGATGATAAGCCTGAGATTAAAAGAACATTTTCGGATCCCTTTTCTGACTCAGCATGTGCCTTTGCTGTGTGGACCCCGTCGGTTCCCTCTTGATTGACCATCGCAGTGCTTTGTTGTTGTTAACATTTACACAAAGCGTGCTTCCTTGTAGGACAGCCGACGGACACCCCACCCGCACGTCCCCAGCAGCAGGCCCCCGCACCTGCAGCCGAGCCCTGGGCTTGCGGACACTGCTTGTCTCCTGCTGCCTGCAAGGGAAGGGAATAAAGTTGGAAAGCTTTCCCCCCGTACAGGACAAGAAGTGCCTCAGAGTAGCCGTGGTGAGCCTATGGCAGCCCACGCTGCCTTCTGACCTGTTCCACGAGGTCCCTGCCCTGCTGGGTGGAGCAGAAAGCGTCTGAGGTGCTGGCCACTTCCCACGCCACAGGCTTCATGGGACACTGACCAGGAGAGTGTGGGACATAGAGTTAAAAGATGACATTTATGGAGGAACCCCGGATGTTTGAAATGTGCCTAGCTTTTCCGTAACAACACAGTTCCCATGAATGTTCGGTGTCCCCTGGCGCCTTGACTCTGGACCTGCATGCCACGTGTGGGCTCGGGCACTCTGCTTGGGGAGCCTGGCTCCGGGGCAGCCTGCCCTTTGTGTCTGCCTCTGCCCCGCCGAGCTTGCTCTCACTGTCAGCCGAGAGAGGAGGCAGGAACTGACCCAGCAACACTGCTGATGACAGTGTCCCAAAAACCTGCTGGTGGGAGGAGGGATGGAAGAGCCGTGGCACCAGCAGAAATTCCATCCCGAAGCAGCGGGAGAGAGCTGCCGAGACGCCAACGCTGTGGCCTGCCCACGCTGTGGCCTGCCGCACGCCCCCAGACAGCCCCTCCCGGCTCGGGCAGGGCATACTGTCCATGCAGTCACCTCAGTAACCCTTGCCTGCGGGGGCATGGCCTTGCTGGTGGTGCTTCCCAGATGACTGGGCAGGGAGGGGTTCCCGTGTCAGACACAGGGACTCCCTCAGCTCCAGTGAGCCCGGCTTCCTGCCCAGGCCGGGCTGGGCTGCTCCCTGCAGCTTGTGTAGACTGTATGTTGCCCTGGCGCTGTTAGAGCGGGAGGTCCCTGGAGGGGGAAGGGGGCATTGTTTGTCCATTTTATTCCTATCCCAAATGCATGATATTTCCTCAGTGAATAAAATAACATGAAACAAACACTCATGTCTGGGGAAAAAAGGCCAGAAAAAAAATAAACTAAAACCATGCATTATAATTTTCCTCTTTCTGTTGGGGGATCATCTACCCTGCTAGTTTTCTGTATTACTCCTCAGCACATAAGCTAAGCGGGGACTCGGCAGAGACACCCTACGAGTGACGGGGCCCCTACACTGGAGGCTGTCGCCAGCTGGCAGGCCCCTGCCGCCTGTTGTGCGTTTGGTTTTTCACTTTAATCTTTCCCAATGCCTTCCTGGGACTGGCACTGAGGGGGTCATTGGGCTGGGCCTGGGTGAGCGGGAGAGGGCAGGATGGTGACGAGCGGTCCCCTCGAGCCTGGGCCCAGTGCTGGCCAGCCCCACTAGACTGCTCCAGTGTGCACTCCTCCTTTAAGATGCCTGGTTGTTGATGCCTACACGAAGCTATATGCTTTTTTTTTTTAAGACTTATTGATTTGCTTCTTTGAAAGAGTTAAAGAGAAAGATCTTGCTTCTATTGCTTCACTCACGTGGTTAGTGGCCGGCACTGGGCCAGGCCAGAAGCCAGGAGCTGTCGTGTCCTTCAGGTCTCTTGGGTATGGAGGCAGGGGACCGTGTGCTGAGCGCTCCAGACCTTGGTGTCCTGGCGGAGCAGGGAGGGTCCCCTAGCGCTGACACCTGGCTGGTTCCTGCGCTCCTCGCCCCTCAGAAGTGCCTGCTCGAGTTCTGCAGCCTTTGTGCACTGCGGCAGCTCCTGGGACCTGGTCAGCAGGTGCTGCTCAAAGTCAGCTTCTGGGCACTGCATCAGATGCTGTCAGAGCTTCACGGAATTGATTTTAATCTGAATCAAGTGACACGTTCCGCTGTTTCTCGTTGGGCTTTGCTCCCACTGGAGCTGGAACAGTAGAGCAGGTGGGTTTCAAACCAGCACACAAGTGGGATGCCCGCATCACAGGTGGAGGCATAACCCACTATGCCACAATGCTGGTCTCCGGTCGCTGGGCTTCAGGATGAGCTGCACAGCCTTTTGTGCTAAACCTGTTCCCCAACTCAAGTCATCTTTTGGGTTGCAGTAGTGCCAGTGTGTTAGCAAGTAGCAGCAGGAGGGGTGCCGAAGCCCTGCGTGCCAGGCACAGGACACGGGTTTTGAGGGTTCTGTGACGGGCAGGCGGGGCCACAGGCGACTCAGTGTTAGGCTGGTGAGGGCGTAGCGGGAGGTGCTGACTCTGGCTCGGGTTCGAGCATTTCTCTTTCGTTGCAGTAGACTTAGAGATGCTTATGTCATGCCTCTCAGTAGGAAAAAAGGAAATGAATTTGACTTACCTAAAAGTTTGAATTTCTCTAGTTTCAGAGTAACGTGTGCGCATAATTTCAGGAGTAGCATCTGGTACAGTGGTTAAGGGACTGCAGCTGGTGGCTTGGCGTGCTGTGCCACAGCACCAGTTCACCTTCCATCTGACTTCTTGCTGCTGCAGACCCTGGATAGTAGCAGGGATAACTTAAGTAGTCAGACCCCTGCCACTCGACACAGAGACTGGGAGTGAGTTCTGGGCCTCAGGGCTTCAACTTGCTCCAGCTCTGGATGTTGTAGCTCTTTTGGGGAGTGAATCAGCAGGTGGAAGATCTCATTTTTTTCTTCTGTCAGTGTCTGCCTATCAGCTACCACGAAAACAAACTCTAAAAATGAATCTCATTTCTTCTGCCCTGATTGAATCTCCGGTGGAAACCCCTGTGGTTTATCAGTGGGTGGGCGATAGGGAAGGGTAGAACCTACATCCTGAATCAGCAGTCTGCGGGGAGGTCGGGCCCGGCCTGGGGGCCACCTGCCGTGGGCACGGTGGGGACAGTAGCCGTACAGGAGGGGACCAGTGTGCGGTCAGCCATGCGTCGGTGCTACCCGTGTTTCGGGCAGGTAATTTTCCGTGAGGGTCTTGGGTGTGACGGGTCTCCTGCAGAGCTTTCCAGAGCCTGCAGGAGTGTCTCTACCTTTGGTAAGGTGGGTGTGGCGTGGACACGTCCTCCCTCCTGCTTACTGTCCTGTGCCTTCCCCCGGCAGATCACCACGGGCTACAACCTGGAGGACGACCGCTGTGAGTGCGTGGCGCTGCAGGATTTCCGAGCCGGGGAGCAGGTAGGCCCTGAGCAGCGCCTGCACAGTGGGCTGGGGCTTCCTGAAGCACATTGCCAGCCCTGAGGCTGCCCTTGGTGTAGGGTGTTTGGGGCAGAGCTTGGGTCCACAAAGAGACAAGATCTTAGAGTGTGAAGTGGCCTGGTGGTTCTGGCATTGTTGTTTTTTCTCTTTTCTTTTTTTTTTTAAGATTTATTTTTATTGGAAAAGCAGATATACAGAGAGGAGGAGAGACAGAGAGAATGATCTTCCGTCCAATGATTCACTCCTCAAGTGAGCCCAATGGCCAGTGCAATGCTGATCCGGAGCCAGGAGCCAGGAACTTCTTCCAGGTCTCCCACGTGGGTGCAGGGTCCCAAGGCTCTGGGCTTTCCTCAGCTGCTTTCCCAGGCCACAAGCAGGGAGCTGGATGGGAAGTGGAGCTGCTGGGATTAGAATCGGTGCCAATATGGGATCCCGGCGCGTTCAACGCGAGGACCTTAGCTGCTAGGCCACGCTGCCGGGCCCCGATTCTGGCATTGTTAACTGAAAAGAAACTGTCTTAGGGCAGAGCTGTTTTTGTTGTTGTTGTTGTTGTTTGTTTTTGGGTTTTTTTTTTAATTTCATAAACTCAGTTGCTTTTGTTTCCTTTTCTGTCGGTTAAAGCATTCTTTGTGAAGAGCTAATATTTAAGTGCAAGAAAAAAAAGAAGTTGGACTCGGAACCATATGCTGTCATGCACTTTCACTTTGACCTGTGATAGTCAGTGTAATAATGTGGGTGGGGGCAGGGTTGAGCTTCTCAATGACTTGAACATTGTGTGTCTGCAAGGACGACCTTCGGGCTCAGCCCACACCCAGGCAGCCCGGCAGCTCATTGCCATCGAGAGGGAATTCACAGCCCGTCCTGCATGGCACACAGAAGCCACAGGATGCCCGGGGCTCCTTAGAGTCTGCGCCCTGAACACTTGCCGCTCCTTCCGTCCAGGGACAGAGCCTGCTGCATGCTAACTACATCTTAAAGTGGCAGCCTGGCTGTCCCTTGGAGGGAGAGAGGGTGACGGAGCCCGGGACCGTCTGCTGGGCGGTGGTGACCCTGTCACCCTCACCTGCAAGCTATGTCAGATGGCAGGCTGTTGGGCTGTCCTATGCTGGCCCTACCGAGTGGCCGTGGGTGGGGGAGCTTTGCCTTGATGCTAAGTTTGTTTTATGTCCCTTTATTTTTTCTTTACTATATCTCAGATTTACATTTTTTATGGCACGCGGTCAAATGCAGAATTTGTGATCCACAGTGGTTTTTTCTTTGACAATAATTCACACGACAGAGTGAAAATAAAGCTTGGAGTGAGTAAAAGCGACAGGCTCTATGCCATGAAGGCCGAAGTCCTGGCTCGCGCTGGCATCCCAACGTACGTAGAAAAACACGGTCAACTCGCGCTGGTGGTGCTGGGAGCAGCTGCGGTGCTTGGGACTGGCGCGTGGATGGCACTTGGCTGCTGCATGCTTGGGCACGGAGTGTGTGGCCGGGGACCGGCGCTTTCGGATAGCGCTGCTGTGTGGCTGCAGCGTTGGGCATGCTGTGGCCTATAGTGCTCATTCATTAAACAAGCACTTGGCTACTGTGAGTGGCGCTCGCCTTGAAAGGGCTGCTGCCCTTGACCGATTTGTTTCACTTTATTCTTTGCCACCATTAGTTTCTCTAATGAAGTCATGATTCTCAATGAATTCAGGAGTTTCCAGTGAAATTCTTGGAGATTTCCTTGCATTTAAGATGTAAAATGATAAAGAAGACCAGAATTATAATTAATGAGTTCTCCAGGGAATGGAGGAACCCTCCTAATGAAAATAGATTATCCAGACCTTTTTTATTGAACTTGTCAATATTTGATTAACGATGAAAGTGTGTATGCCGCATAAATTATTGTTCATGCTTTTGAAGAGCCGTGGGTGTGTTGTGGTGTGTGCCCCGAGGTGTGGCTGCTAAAGATAGGTGGAGCTGGCAGAGTCCTCGCCCAGCACCTGGTCTGCCAAACTCCACTTTCCTGGGGCGGGGCGGAGCTGGGACGCTGCGCACGGACTGCGTGCAGGGCCTTGCTGTGCGGCCAGCGGTCACTGATGCTGCTTCCTGCTCTCGGCAGGTCCAGTGTGTTCGCGTTGCATTTCACGGAGCCTCCCATCTCCGCCCAGCTCCTGGCTTTTCTCCGAGTGTTCTGCATGACCGAAGGTAAAGTGATGCTCATCTTTTTTCTGAGTTCAGTGGCGTATAAACAGGCGTACGGGTTCAAAGAGCTCGTTGCTGAAAACTAAAGCTTCCTTGGCAAAAGGGAGGGTGATCGATTTCCCCACAGGATATTTGGGGTCAGGCGTCCAGTTAGCGTGAAGAGCTGTTCTTCGCCACGGCCTTTTATTTCGGTCCCAGAATGGGTTCGGTGTATGCGTTAAGCATCTACTGGTGGAGTTGCTAAAGCAGGGTATTTGGATTTCTTATATTGGCACTTGTCCTGTTGTGGCCGTGTTTCTGTTTTAATCCTAAATTTAATCCTAAATATGTACCTCTTCCAGTTCTGTGGTTCTGAGCTTTTGTTTGAATGGTGTGAGTGCATGGGGAGTGTGTGTGTGTGTAATCCTGTGTGGAACAGGTGAGTCGGTTGGAGTGAGTGATGGACTGAGCTGACCAGTCGTGTCAGGCACTGGCCAAGGTGGAAGGGGAGAGCCTGGCCAACTAGGGCAGAGCAGTCGAACATGGCTCTGGTTGCTTCATGTCTGGATCCCACGGGAGGTGCTGTGCAAACTCAGGGCTTGCTGTCCTGTGCCGCAGCTTGGAGAGACTTAGTTCCTGCCCAGCCCAGAGGCCAGCAGGCTGTGGCTGCAGGGCTTAGCTCAGGAGCTGTGCTCACTGCTTCCTGAGCGCCTGGGGTGGCACGCTGGCAGGACTCTGCCGGGAGCTGAATGTCGGCTGTGGGCCATTCTTGCATATACAGGAGTGTGCGGAAGGGGGCGCCGCAGTGCACTGCGGGGTGTCAAGTACGGCACGGACTTAGTTTTTGCCTTGTTAGCCTTGTGTGACAGGATGTTCCTGTTCTGATGTAAATGGGTTCAGAGTGGCAGACGACTTGGACCAAAGTCACTCAGGGAGTGGTAGGTGACCAGGTATAGAACTGGGTGCTGTTAACACCAGCATCCTGCTAGCTGGCAGACAGCGTCTCCGTGCAGGGATCCCTGTTGGCCTAGGTCTGGGGGAGATGCTGCTGTGTGACTGAGGTTAGGTGGAGGAGGACAGGCAGGAGGAGTATGAGCGAGGCTGACCATGGTGCTGACCGAGGGAGGAACTTGAACATGGGCCAGTGCATGGCCCTCCCTCCAGTAAGCTGTGCCATCCTGGTGGCAGAGAGAAGCTCAGGAAGCCACTGAGGGTTGGGCCGGGGTGGGCTGTGAGCTGAAGGAACCCTGCTGCAGAAGCCTGTGGCTTGTCGCTCTCATCCCTGTCCCAGGGGTTGCATCTCCAGTTTCGCTATTGGAAAGAGCAAAGGAGAGGTTCTGTGGCTGTTGGCCTTGCGCAGGGAAGCAAAGAGCACAAGCTGGTGAAGGCAGGATGTGAGCATGGTCCCTGGGGGTTTGCAGTGGCTCATGGCAGCTCCCCGGGGGTGGGAGGCTTCTGGCCCTGGGAAGCCCCTTGTTTCGCCACCACTTTACTGGAAAGTCGTAAGTTGAAGCTCCTTAATGTTGACTTGACCTTCAACCAGTAAATACAACTTAATAAACTGCTGAACATTGGACAACTTCCATTCCCTTCAAAACAAAGTCCAAACTGCTCCAGTCCGTTTGGGTCCTGATTCTGTATGGGCAAGACAGCTGGGTGTTCTTTCAGTGACCACCACTATGGCACTAGAGGTTGGTCTGTCACACACTGTGCTGTGGCCTGGAAGCTGTGGGGCAGTGTGCTCCAAGGATGCTGTCTGGAGGTGGGTGACGCTGAGGGCTGTGTCCTCAGGAGGCCAGCTGTGGCCCGTGTAGGGGTGTTGCCTCTTCTCAGGCCTGATTGGAGGTGATGTGTTGATCTGTAGTTTACAAGTGCGCTGCATGTTCTCCTTTCGTTAGGATGTTGGCAGGCTGTTGCCCTGTTGTTCAGGTTTGAATTGGCATCGATAAGCACTAGTGCCGTTTTGCATCAGGAGAGTCCCTGGGCTGCTTTGACCACCACGTTACTGTCCCTGCGTGACTGAGCTCTTGGCCGGCAGAGGTTGAGGACAGTCTGTGACCTGGGTCACTGCAGGCTTCCAGGGCCGCCCTGCAGCACCTGGCCAGTGTCCCCCAGAAAGGACACGGAGCTGCTTTGCCCCAGCCCAGAGCTCAGCCCTGCACTGTGCTGGGGAACTGGGCAGCTGGGCAGGGCCGAAGTACTGGCCGAGGTGTCAGGCACAGGGAAGAGCTGCTGTTGGAAGGCTCTGTGTGGGGAGGTGAGCGGATGTGCCGTGCCCCTCCTGACTGGCTGCCCCCTGGGTTTCTTGCAGAGGAGCTGAAGGGGCACTTGCTGGGGGACAGTGCCATCGACAGGATCTTCACCTTGGGCAACTCCGAGTTCCCTGTAAGCTGGGACAATGAGGTCAAACTGTGGACATTTCTCGAAGACAGAGCCTCCCTTCTGTTGAAAACGTATAAAACCACAATTGAGGTAATTAGGCTCAGCAGGTGAGGGTTCAGGCTGTGCTGGCTTGGAAAATGTTCAGTGCAAGAGTGTTCCCTGCATGTGAACTGCTGTACTTCAGTCAACATCACTGTGGATTTGACAGTTTCTCAGTGTTAACACTTTGCTGTTTAATACACTATACTTACCAAAAAAATTGTGATGAGGCTTTGCTAGTTAGAATACAAATCTTTAAAATTACTTAGTGTGCTTTCAGAATTTCTAATTCATGTGACGCCTCAACCCTAAGCTTGCACTTGTGTGTTCAGAGTTTACTGGCAGCTGCTGGTTTGGGGTACTTACTTCTCCCCTGAGAGTGGCCGGGCCCCATTGCTCCAGGACAGAGCAGGAGGGTGCTCCCCCAGCAGCCTCGGAGCACCTGCCTCATGACTGCGGCATCTGAGAGGGAAGCAGCGCATGCAAGCCATCTCCCTGTCTGTCAGATGTGTAAACAGAAAAATTAGGGATTTATTTGAAAGGCAGAGTTACAAAGACACACAGACAAGACAGAAAGACCTTCTCTCTACTGGTTTCCTCCCAAATGGCTACAACAGCTGCTACTGTCCCAGGCCAAACCCATGAACCCGTAGCTTAATCCGGGTCTCATGTGGGTTCCGGGGCCCAAGGACTCTGAGCCATTGTCCACTGCTTCCTTGGGTGCATTGGCAGGGGCTAGGCTAAAGTGGAGCTGATGGGGCTTGGATTAGTGCCCATATGGCATGCTGGCATCTCAGGCTGTGGCTTAACTTGTTAGGCCACAGCCCTGCCCCCCCCCCCTTTTTAATGTGACAGTTAAAAAATAGATAAAATTCTCTGTCAAACATGTTCACACCATTTAATTCAACCTAGTTTGCTTTTGCAAAAACAAAGCACTCTTAATTTTTTTTTAAATATTTCTTTATTTGAAAGACGAAGTTGGAGAAAGGGAGGGAGAAGGAGAAAGAGGGAACTCTTCCCACTGGTTCATTCTTCAAATGCTGCGATAGCCAGCATGGTGCCAGCATGGTGCCAGGCCAAAGCCCCCAGCTGGAAGCTTCCTGCACGTCTTTCATGTGGGTCGCGGGGGCTGAGGCAGTTGGGCCATTAGCAGGAAGCTGGATGGGAAGTGGAGCAGCCAGGACTCAGACTAGCGCCCATGTGGGTGTCAGCACTGTCGGTGGTGCCTTCACCTGCAGAAGAGTAAGGCTTCCTCCCCCGCTCCCTTCTGCGCTGAAGCCCTAATTCTGCCAGGTGCCCGTGTGGTCCGGCACCCCAAGCTGCCCCCTGCCCCGCTGCCTGGCGCCCGGCCGCTGTGGGTGTGTGTCCGGCCCCTGTGGCTTTGTTAGTGAGCATGCTCTTGTTGTTCGCCAGGGAGACAAGGCTGTGTTGAAGAAGCAGGACCTTTCTGTCCGTGCGACCATGGCCGTCAAGCTGCGTCTTGGCGAGAAGGAGATTTTGGAGAAAGCGGTGAGGAGCGCAGCCAGCAGCCGCGAGTACTACCGCAAGCAGCTGGAGGCGCAGGCGCCGCTGCCCCGGTACGAGGACAGCAGCCTCGGGGACTCGAGTCTGCCCCTGGTCCTGAGGAACCTCGACGAGGAGGCCGTGGTGCAGGAGGCCTTGAGCAAAGCCCGGGCTGCCGAGAACGGGCTTGTCAACGGCGAGAACTCCGTCTCCAGCGGGAGCCCGCCCGAGCGGGGCAGCCCGAGGCCGGAGCGGAGCCCGAGAGCGGCCGAGGCCCGAGAGCCTTCCCCGGGCGGCCGGGTGGCCGAGCGCAAGCCGTGAGCGTGGCGCCGAGGGACTGGGGCAGCGGGGTCGCGAACGGTCGCCCGTTTCCGTCGCTGTGTTTCCTTGTCAGCATTTTTCTTTCTGCACAGAGGAAAATATGTTTTTGCTGCTTTATATAAAAAGAAAAAGATTTTTTAAGTTATTTTAAAAATCTAGCTTCCTGTTCTGATCGAGGTTGCCATCTTGCTTCTAGGCAGAACACAGCCATTCTCGGACAGCCGCCCGTGCGAGTGCCTTCGGGGGCTGGCGGCCCGAGGGGGCCAGCGGATTTTCTTCCTGGGGAAGAGTCTGGCTCCTCAGCTGTGCCGCCCGCCAGCCCTGGGGGCACGGGGGCACATGGGGCACAGCGGGACACTGCACCGCCCAGCACGCAGCCGAGGGCCGGAAATGCTGGCGTGGGCAGAACCCTTTTTTCCTCCTTAAAAAAATTGAACACCCCGTACCAAAAGAAGAGGTGAAGCGGCAACCTTTATTTTACTAGTTTTAACTGTGGATGATAATCCTAATGATATGAATCTATATACGCCACAAAGCTTCTAGAGCTTTCTCGAGATGTGTTTCCCCTGTGTTTTTATTTGCCGTGCTGTGTCCTTGCTCCTGGAATCCGCACGGGGGGCACCGAGAGTGAGGCGGCTCCTGGTTCTCTTGGTTTTCACACACGCTAGAGATTTTCAAAGCTACAATTTTGAGTAAAAACCGTTATTAAAAGAAGAAGATGATTAATAGCTTCGTCTGTTCCTCTTCTTTGGAGTAGGGCAGGCCTGCTGAGTTGCTCCTGTGCAGGCCCCCTCCTCCCAGGCAGTCAAGCCCTGGTCCTGGGAGGCCAGGATGGCCCAGGTGCTGCCACCGGGTGCCGCGACGGCTGCTAGGCAGGGCACAGGGCGGCGGGCCTGCGGGGAGAGGAGCCTCAGGTGTTGGGTCAGGAGGCGGGGGCCGTGTGCTGGGGTGCAGTGGGGCCCGGATCCTCTCAGAAACCACCGGTTTTCTGGCCGATTGCTCATCTCGCTTTGCCATGTGTTGTCCCCTCATCCTGATATTTTGCCTGCTGGCTGTACAACCTACTGAAAAATGCTACCGGCTCTCCCGAGCGAGTGCTGCCCTCAGCTCTGCCGTTGGCCGGACAACCCTGTGCAAGTGGACGGCTGCCCTGCCCAGTGTCGAGGTGAGTAGCTTGTAGCTGCCATTGTCTGATGCCTGTGACAGGACTGGGACGTGTCACCTCCGCCGGAGTTCGGGAACAGGTGTTGGTGTTGGCATGTGCCAGCTCTCACGTCAGCTCCCCCCGAGACTCACCTGGAAAGGTAAGGAAGCAGAGGGGCTGAGACCAGAACTTTCTGACAGACTGGACTACAGGTGTATTTTCTTACTGCAGTACAGTTTTTTATTGCTCTTTGTAAGAACTTTTTTGAAAGTATTTATGCAATTTGGACATAAAGGTGTCATGAGTAGGGGGTTTTCCAGATAGTCCCTGGAAGTTTCAAGAAGGCGCGGCCGGCAGGCGGAGCTGGGCACGTGGCCTCCAGCAGGTGTCTCGGAAGCCCCTGTTCTGTGCCAGTCGGCTCTTCTCCACCTACAGTGCCTGCCTGGGGAGACTGGCAGCAGGAAGCTGTTAGGGAAGGTGGCCTTGCAGCGGTGAGCAGGCCCCGAGTGAGTGAGGCATGGACGGCTCCCTGTCCTCACCCCGGGGAGAAGCGCCTCACGGTGAGCCTGCCGCGCTCGCACGCCCTCGGTGTCCTCAGAACCCCATGAGAAAGTGCATACTGAAAACCCCCATTGTCATCTGTGGTAGAAATAGGACCCTCTGCCCAGTCAGGAAAGTTCCCTTCCGTTCGTTGGTCTGACCAGGAGCTGCAGGCGGTCAGGACGCACAAGCCTGTACACGCCTCTGCCCTAGCTTTTCATGCAGCCTGGCAATCGATGGGCAGCCCCCCAGCCCCTGAGAAGTCAGGCTAGCCTCACAGGAAGTGCACTTACCTATTTGTCTGTGTACAGGACACTAAACACACACGTCCCCATCACGTAGCGTTGTGGGAAATGAGGGAATTAATTTTGTGGGTGTTCTTTTCAACATTAATGGGAAGTACCTACGTCTTGCCTCAGGGCTGCAGTGTCCACAGCTGTAAGGGACATGGGTGACTGACTGGCCTTGTGGCACTGTGGTTAGGCTGCCACCAGTGTCCCCTGTCAGTTGTCAGTTCTGGTCTAGCTCCCTGCTGGTGCACGTGGGAAGGCAGCCGAGTGTGGCCTGGGGACCCAGGTTCCCTGCTGTTGTAGTCCCGTGAGGAGTGAACCAGCAGCTGGGAGAGCCTCCCGCTCTGCCTCCTGTCCCAACAAATGAATCCATTTGGGACACAGTGCATGGCGACTGGTTTGGGGTGTGAGTTGGGAGAGCAGCAAGCATCAAGTGTGGCTGTGACCACGGGGCGCTGAGCGGCATTCTGGGGGTAGATTGCTCTGTTCCTCCTAGTTATTGCCCTGGCAAAACAAATGCATTTACTAGGGTGTAACTGAGACCCTGACCCAGGGATTTGGTTCCCTTTTTTTAAAATGTCACTCTGAGGCGGGGATGGAGTCGAATCCAACATAACCTCGTTAAGGGTCACCCTACTGTTTTAATCAGCAGCACCTCACCTAATGTATTCCTGAAATTCCATGTGTAAATTGAATTTGAGTAACCCGAATTGTATTTAAATGCACTGGCGAATTTGTTATTTAGATGAAGGCGCCCTGCTCATCGGGGAGGCTGGGGCTGGGAGAGGAAGCCAGAGCGAACATGCTCTCCCTGTCTGCATGTATTTGAAGACCTGTCGGTGAAGCAGGGATTGGACCTGCTGCAGTCTTTGCACCAGCACAGCCAGGGGCAGCACATGGGGCGGTGTGCAGGGTGCTCTGTTAACAGCTGCCATGACAGGGCTGGCACTCGCCTCCCTGGACCAGGACAGGCAGGTGGGTCATTGGAGGCATAGCCCGGGGGATCCGAGCACACACCGGTGGGCTGGACCTGGCCGCAGCCCAGCTTCCCTGTTCCACCTTGCAGCCTCCTTTGGGGGACCCAGTGCTCCTTTCCCCAGAGAATTCAAGAGCATCCCCTGAGACAGAGCCTGTTTTGCTTGCTTGTTTGCCAGCCCGAATCCTTTCCCAGAGGCACAACACGCTCATGGCCCTTGAGTAGGCACTGGGACCATGACTCCTGGGGTGGGACCCGGAGGCTGGGGCACTTATACAATGACAGTGGAGACAGCTTGGGAGGCTCATTGGTCACCAGTGTGCATGTGGGACCCATGTGCATGTCCACAGCAGTGAGTAGGCAAGGAAGGGTCAGACATGTCCAGGACCGACGATGAGGCCTCCAGGAGGAACCCCCGGAGCCTGACCCCGGTCACCGTGTGGGTGGCATGGGAGGTGTGGCATTGCCAAGAGCTGCTTCAGGAGGACAGATGGGGAGATGGGGTCACCAGCTCGCCACACAGGTGCTGTTGCCCCGGAAACAGGTCAGTGTGCAGCAGGCTGGGCTCTGCTCAGGGACTCTGCCATCATGACACAGCTCGACTCATTTGGACACTCTGCGAGGACCACATCATAAACGTACACAGTGCACATACTGTACGTGAATCTTTCTCAGTTTTCTCCTTCCTGCAGCAGAGGAGTTAGGCCAGCTCGGGGCAGAATGAATGTGGCTTTCTGGGTCCACGCTGGGACCTCATCGCCTGGTCCAGTATGGGGATACTGCCCGAGCTGTGTTAGCAAGGTGGAGGCCAGCCTGGGGACGGACAGACACGGGTTGATCGATGCTAAGCTCTCCTTGCCCTCCCCACTACTAGCTGGGCCCTGGCCCCTCAGGATCATCCTTGTGTCACGTATGGTTCTGTAGGAGGTGCTTAGGCTTCCCCACCCCCCGGGACCCCCCTGGGACTGCAGCACTCTGCTCACCCCTCCTGTAGCCATGTCCACCTTCTCACGTGTTTGACACACATGGAACTTGCTTGTCTGGAAAGGACCCCCCCGCCACCGCCAAGCAGATTCTCACCCAGTGCTTGCATTGTCACCTCTAAGCAAGCTTTTAAATCAGAGAAGAAAAACTGCTCATCCGGAAACTGGGACTCGGAAACCACCTGCAGTGCACCCTTGTCAACACTACCTTCCACAGCTCCAAGCAAGCTTCCTGAGGTATGACATGAGCCTTGATTTTCTTTTTCTGGTTTTTTTTTTTTTTTTAAAGATTTATTTATTTATTTATTTATTGGAAAGTCAGATATACAGAGAGGAGGAGAGACAGAGAGGAAGATCTTCCATCCAATGATTCACTCCCCAAAGTGAGCGCAACAGCCGATGCTATGCCGATCCAAAGCCAGGATCCAGGAACTTCTTCCGGGTATCCCACACGGGTGCAGGGTCCCAAGGCTTTGGGCTATCCTCGACTGCTTTCTCAGGCCACAAGCAGGGAGCTGGATGGGAAGTGGAGCTGCCGGGACTAGAACCGGTGCCCAAATGGGACCCCGGCACGTCCAAGGTGAGGACTTTAGCTGCTAGGCTACGCCGCCGCCAAGCCTTGGTTTTCTGACCTGAAAAGGTTGCTCAGAGGAGCGGGTGTGAATCTAGCAAAGTGGCAGGGACATAGTAGGTGTTCAGGGATGGTTCCTATGGTTACCAAAGAGCTCATGCGAGAAGCCACCATGTCCCAAGTGAGTAGGTGTTCTGCAGCCTGTGACATATCCACCAGCCACTCAAGGCAACACGCAATGTCACCTTGCCCCATGCCGTGTCTGCAGTAGGCGCTACTCATGGGAAACATCTAATGTATGCAGACCAGCTCCCAGCACTGCTGTATACACAACCATCTGAACAACGCCTTTTGAGTGTGTCAGGGCTTTAAAAGTTTTTGAGCAAATTCAGAAGACACCCTTCCCTGAATGCAGGTGCAAATGACGCCCAACTCCAGCAGCAGAGGACGCAGCCCCTGCCATTGCAGCGCCTGGGTAGGGGTCTAGGGGACCTTTGCAGGTGCACCCAGAGGAGCAGCTACTGCTCTGTCCTACAGAAATGAAAATGATGCTTTTCTTTTGGCCACTGGCCTTTATCCAATTGCCCTGCTGTGTCTCTTGCTACCAAGTGACTTCAGCAGTCACACTGTCCAGTGTGTGGTATAATCAGCCATGTGGCCATGGCCCTTCCTGGATAGTCAAATGGGGTGGCGTCATGGGAAGGCCGGATCAAGGCGAAGGGGAGGTGGAATTCCAAGCCCGGCTCTGCCCTACGGAGCCGGGCATCTCCCTAGATCAAGCCCAGGACACTCTTGCTCGTGTCTCAACGTGGTTTCCTGCCAGCAGCAGGTGCTGCAACTGCAAGTACAGCTCTCCGCTGGGTCTGACGAGGCTGCTGTTCTGCAAAGCTGCCTTTGCGACACTATTTTGGGAAGAGTCAGGCTGAGTGGCTGCTGCAAGCTTTGGCTTCATCATCACTGAGGGTGGATGGGGTGACAAGAACCCAGGACACTGCCCTGGTGGTCTGAAAGCGGGGTTCCTGCCATGCTGAAGCCCTCAGCTGAACCCCAGCTGAGCGTGAACAGGAGGGGAGAGAACCCACCTTGTGTCCGAGCCTTGAGCAGCTGTGCTGTGCCTCCTCGGGGTGCCCGGGGCCTGGACAGCTGGGTCTTGTTTCAGAGGCATTCTGACTTCCAACAGGCCAAGGCAGCAAGGGGAACTGCCTGACCAGACCCACAGTGA